CTTTGGCTGCAAAGTGCTGCAGGCTGATTTAGAATTGCATTGCAGAATTTCTGATTTCCTGAATGCATCTCTCTCTCTCTCTCTCTCTCTCTCTCTCTCTCTCTCTCTCTCTCTCTCTCTCTCTCTCTCGCCTGCAGACTGTGCTGCTGACCAGTGTCGTGTGTAAGAAACAGGTGGATACTGGAGAGAAAGTACAGAGGGTGGAAAAGAGAAACAACTCTGAGACAAGTTGGGAAAAAGTGCAGCAAAACTTGGATTCATGGAAGACAGATGACGGAAGGTTCAGGAAAGATGGAGAGACGTGCAGGGACCAGAGTGACGATCAGTCCTCCTCCATAGGATTTCCAACACAGGGCTATTAAACGACTACAGAGGCGTTTAAGAAGCGTCAGGTGAGTTAACTCAACAACAAATGTACTTTCCTCTGATATTAATGCTGGAAGTGGAAAATGACGTTTAAAATTTAAAGAAAGTTAAAAAAAAAGATAACCTACTGATTGGAAAGTTAAAGTTTTACACAAAAATGTCACAATATTCACTTAAACACAGAAAGTAAAGATTGATTTAACCCAAACAAATAAAATTAAACCTCTAGTTTACTTTTTATAGTAATTTGATGCAGTAAGGGTCATAATATACTAAAACTTAATTTTTAATTGATGTAAATTCCATATTTTTCTGATTTTTTGTACTTGCGGTTATTTTGAAATTAAGTTTAGTACCTAATTCATTTAGGATAGAGACAAAATGATGCTCCACCATGGTTGACCTGCTAGTTAGAGAGTCAATGAGGTTAAAACTGCTGAAACTAATTGTTGTGAATAAGATTTAAAGTCTCCTTCATGCTTCATGCTTCTAAAAGCAAACCGCTGATATCAAGACAAAAGTAATAGCGTTTATTTTTCACAATCAACATGTCCCACCTATCTTAATGATGGAGTTATAATTGTTTTGGTTTAAGCTCAGACTGCTTTAAAAGAAGTAAAATCTTAAAACGGCACCAGAACGATACAAATCCCACATTTTGGCTCGGCGTCTGTAAAACCGATCGAGGTGAAACCATTTTTGTGTTTGCAAAGATCGGTTAGCTGTGGCAGCATGTGGCTGGCTTCCAATAAAGACATTTAAGATTGTAATTCAAAATTTTCAGTATCCTCAAAAGTTTTTTTTAAATAAAAATGGGGACCTGGCTTTTCAGGTATCCATCAGGGTAAAGTTTCAGTTCCTGCAGCTACATTTCTATTTTTCTCTTTCCCTTTCTTCACATTTTTATCACAATCTTTTACTTCTCCCAGTTTTATGATATTTTTAATCTTTTTTCAATCCTGTTATTTTTATATTTTCAATATATCTTTTGTGACATGTCTCATTATTTTTATCTTGAGAGGCGCTAAAAGATTGTTTCTTCTTCTTAATATTCCATCTGGCTTTCTTTTAATAACCATTTTGATTCAGTTGTTCCTCCATTTCCAGTTCCTTCTTTACCTTTTGTTGTTGTTATAATAAAACCGGTTCTCTCAGATATGCACCGATAAACATCTAGAGCATTCTTGCTTCCTTGTAGATGTCCACTTCTGCTTTTGTGCGCTGCAGCTGTCATCATTTGTTTCGGACTTTTTTTTTTTTTTTTTAGAAAACCTTAAACATCTCTGTGTTGCACATATATGGAAACAAATAGGGACATTTTTAAGAATAATTCTAATTTAATCAAACAACCTCGGATTTGATTCATGCAAAGTTGACATGAGAATGTTGGAGACTGTGAACACAGAAAACCCACAGAACAATTCATTCATTCCTGCTGCAGAGCATAAATCACCAGTTTGGCACCAGTTCGTCGTCGTCGTCGTCGTCTTCCTCCGCGTATCCGGGTCCGGGTCGCGGGGGCAGCATCCCAACTAGGGAGCTCCAGACCGTCCTCTCCCCAGCCACCTCCACCAGCTCCTCCGGCAGGACCCCAAGGCATTCCCGGACCAGATTGGAGATGTAACCTCTCCAACGTGTCCATCGGAGAGGCACCAGTTCATAAATAAATGAAACGGAATTTGTTTTCTGACTGAGTAAAATGATTGAGTTAGTCTTTGAAGAGTTGTTTGGTGGTAGAATCACCCAAGGTCTGGAATGAGGATGATTAGACATGGCGGGTTTCTGATGAAGTAAACCTGATACTCCATCTGAGTTGCTTATCACTCGTTTTAATCAAATCAGTGTTCAGAAGCACTGAAACAGCAGGAATGCATGGTAGCACACACCTGCTAACGCTGCAACAGGCTAAAAATTAGTCCGATGTAACGTAAGGTTGAACGTGACGCTGAGGGATGGCAGTAGCTCAGGAGCTAGAGCGGGTTGTGCAGTAATCAAAAGGTTGCAGGTTCGATCCCGGCTCCGACCAGAGAATGCTGCAGTTGTGTCCTTGGGCAAGACACTTTACCCACCTTGCCTGCTGGTGGTGGTCGGAGGGACCGGTGGTGCCAGTGTTAGGCAGCCTTCACCCCAAGGCAGCTGTAGCTACATTGTAGCTCATCCTCACCAGCGAGTGAATGGGTGAATGACTGATTGTGTTGTGAAGCGCCTTGGGGGGCTGTAGAACTCAAAGAAGGTTCTATACAAATACAGACCTTTTAATCGTTTAGCTCCAAAACACAACAGACAGATCCCTTTTTGTTCCCTTGAAGTTTACTGACGTGCTTTAGTAATGCACGTCTAGTTAGCAGTCATGCTAGGTTTGTGTGCGAAGCATCAGTGTGTCGGCCTGCAGTGCATGCTGGGAACTGGGGCACATTCTCATTGATTGACAGCTCTCTCTCTCTCTGTTGTGGACATGCAACTCTACTGGTCAACATGTAAATGACTGGTTTTGGTGGTTCTACTTTATATCTTAGAATAGGGTCAGGTAGTCAAGTTTATGCATTTCTCAAGTGACTTTGACATTTTAAAGTACGCACCCCAGCTTTAAAATCAGAAGAGGTTCGATGACAATTTGCATTTGTAATATAAAGGAAACTAAATAAGATTGGAAGGATGTGTACATTGTGTCTTGCCACTGGTGTGAATCTAAGTTTCAACCAAAAGTCCTATTTTGTTCCTCTTGTAGCTTAAAAGTAGATTTGTGTTTTTGTGTGTTAACGAGTTTTTCACCTGAACAACGATTTATAACAATCTTTCCTTTGTTTTATGACAGTTTTGATTAATGTTTTGAATTCGTGGCTTGATCCTTATATTTATAACTGCTTTTGTTGTGTTTTCTGATTTTATTTATCTTTCTCTTTTATTTAATGTATTATTCATCTTAACCCTCTGATGCATGAATTATGAAATCTTCAACCAAGATTTTTTAAACAATTTTTTTCATTCACCTTGAGGTGTGAATGAAACAAATTTCAACAAATATTTTTTGTAACATTTTGTTAATTTACAAATAATTTATTACATGTCCACCCCTGCGGACAGTGTGCATTCTGAACATGAAATATGTTGGCTTGACTTACTGAAGTCCAAATGGAGGTGCTCAAATGCAATAAAGTCTTCAACAGCTGTGCTTAATAGCAAAAATAAAGAAATAACAATTTTGAGTACCTGTCCACTGTAGTGACCATCATGCACCAAAGGGTTAAGGGGTCTGATCTCCGAGCGGTTCGCAGCCGAGTGTGAAGCAGCTGGGATGAAAATCAGCTCCTCTAAATCCGAGACCATGGTCTTGAGTCGGAAAAGAGTAGAATGCCGTCTCCGGATCAGGGATGAGGTCCTGCCCCAAGCGGAGGAGTTTAAGTATCACGGGGTCTTGTTCACGAGTGAGGGAAAACTGGAACACAAGATTGATGGGTGGATTGGCATTGTACCGATCTGTTGTGGTGAAGAGAGAGCTGAGCTGGAAGGGAAAGCTCTCGATTTACCCGCCGATCTACTTTCCCTACCCCTCATGGTCACAAGCTTTGGGTAGTTACTGAAAGAACAAAACCATGGATACAAGCGGCCAAAATTAGTTTACTCCAGTGTGGCTGGGCTCTCCCTTAGAGATAGCGAGAAGCTCGGTCATCCGGGAGGGGCTCAGAGTAGATCTGGTGCTCCTCCATATCGAGAGGAGCCAGTTGAGGTTGCTCGGGCAACTGGTCAGAATGCCTCCTTGATGTCTCCCTGGTGAGGTTTTCCGGGCACATCTAACTGGGAGGAGACCCAAAGGAAGACCCAGGACACGCTGGAGGGACTATGTCTCTCACCTGGCCAGGGAACGCCTTGGGATTCCCCCGGAGGAGCTGGCCCAAGTGGCTGGGGGGAGGGAAGTCTGGGCATCCCTGCTTAGGCTGCTGCTCCCGCCACCCAACGCCGGATAAGTGGCTGATGGATGGATTTTATTTGATGATGTTTTGTTGTTTTCTTTTTATGGCTAATGATTTGTTTTGTTGATCTTTGTAAGTCACTTTCTGTGCTAAGTGCTACATAAAAAAGCTTGTGTGCTAGTTTCAAACAGCAGTTGACCTCTAAACTCGTCCCAGTGGTCGAATATTGGGACCAAATGACATAAATCCCACATAAAACACATATCACAAGTCCGATAGAGTTTACAGTGTTGTCTTGCCAAATTGGATACCTTGAAATTGAAGAAGTGCTAGCCTAATATGTAAAACATACTTGTGTGACTTGGGTGTGGATCAGCAGCCTTAAAGGACTTGCAACAATAAGTTATCCTTCTGAACGGTGTGAATGTCCTGAGGTGTAACTCAAGCCACCACGTCTCCTCCCCTCCCCTCCCTTCCCACCAGTTGTATCCTTCACGTACACAAAAGCATGAATGAAATAGTTTTAGCTTACAAGCTGTAATAGAAACTATGTGGACAATGACATGAGATCCAGTAAATTAATCTAGAAACACAGATTGCACGAATGAGGATGAGTAGAAAAAAAGGGAGGAATCATGGGGAAAATAAGCTTTTCCTATTTATTGACACGTTACAGAATAATAATAATAATAATAATAATAATAATAATAATAATAATAATAATAATAATACATTGTATTTAAAAGCGCCTTTCAGAACACCCAAGGTCACTTGACAGAAAACACGTAATAAAACACAATAAAACAATAATAAAACCCAAACAAGAAAAAAAAACTGAGAGAAACAGTTCAATAAAATCAGAGGTTGTAGGCAGATTTAAACATATGTGTTTTGAGTTTTGTTTTGAAAAGGGTGAAACTGTCGATGTTCCTGATGTCTGGGGGAAGTGAGTACCAGAGACGAGGAGCAGAGCGGCTGAAAGCTCTGCTCCCCATGGTAGCGAGACGGGCAGAAGGAACCGCAAGATGGATGGAAGAAGAAGATCTGAGAGAATGGGATGGGGTGTGAATACTTATAAGGTCTGAGATATATGGAGGAGAGAGGTTGTGGATTGCTTTGAAGGTATGGAGGAGAATTTTGAAGATGGACCTGAATTTAACTTGGAGCCAGTGAAGCTGCTGGAGAACCGGGGTGATGTGGTGAAAGGAAGGGGTTCTGGTGATAATACAGGCTGCTGAATTCTGGACCAGTTGCAGTTTATGAAGGAGTTTGTTGGGGAGACCATAAAGAAGTGAATTACAATAATCGATACGGGAGGTGACGAGGCTGTGGACGAGAATGGCGGCAGTGTGAGGGGTCAGAAATGCAAAGAAATACAGAGAAATGCAAAAGTACACTTATCAAAATAAAACTGCGTTCTTGTGTCTCCAGGAGGATGTGTTGCCTCTTTGCAGAAGGAAAATGGGAAATTCACCTCCTTCGAATCATCAGCCTTTTCCTGACAGTAGCTGCTCCACCGACAGGTATCGTCTTCCAGCCCCACAGCCCCCCCCCCCCCCCCCCCAAAAAAAAGGCGTGACATAAATTTAATCCTTATTGGATAATTCTTTGTCATCAAGATTCATAAAATTTGTTCCTATCAGACCAATTTTGCAATGCTAATGTTTTATTCTAAATAATTACAAAGCTCCCAACCATACAGTGCCTGAATGTGTCACCATTCCATGTTTTCCAGTACATTGCTCCTTCCTGGGAGACACCAAAGCTGTGATAAATGTCTGTTACGACCACTGGACCCTACAAAGCCCAATCGTCTCCGTGCCACGTCTCATGACCGTGTGTGTGGACGTTCGGGTGGTTGTCCCTGGATCCTGGGTGGCTTTTTCCTACAACTCTGTCTACGGGATTTATCCCGATTTGGGTCTGGAGGGAGACTCGGACATGATATATGGGTGGCTGCTACAAGTCCGGCACCAGTTTCCAATCCAGATGCTCCCAACCATTTGGCACAGAGTTTGTCTGAGGAGGGACGAAGCGAGGAACGTGTTTAGTCTGGAGGTAAATTTTAGGGTGTGCATTTTTGTTCTGTTCTGGAGTAAATCTGATGCTCTCTTATGTCTTTAAACCTGTGAAAAATATTTTTCTCCACATTGGTTATTTCTCTTTTAGATTTTTTTGACACACTTGGTAATTTCAGCAAACTAATTCCAACATCAGACACATAACTTGTTTAAATATGGAATTCAGTTTGCAAAGGTTGATTTGTTAAGAGTAAAAGTTGGCTCTCCAAACTATCCTGGTTTTATGTGACGCTAGGTGTGTTTCCACTGGCGGAACTTCAGGGTAAAGTCACGGGAACTTCCTGGTGTGTGTGTGTGTGTGTGTGTGTGTGTGTGTGTGTGTGTGTGTGTGTCCACTTGACCGGGCCATTTTCAGGAACTTTCCGGGTACCTGATCAGAATAGCCCGGTGGAGTTGCTGAGCCGACTTTTTGGTTAACTCATGCTGATTGGTTGTGAAATGATTGTTATTCATTGACGATATTCCCAAAATGAATCCTCTATGATGATATTCTACTCTAAATTCAAAATTGGACAAACACAAGCACAAAAGTTTCATTTGATCAAACCCAGAAATTTACTCTATGTGTCATTGCGTCCTATCAGAGGAGCAAAAACAGCAAAAATGCATGAAGGCAAATTTTCACGAGATAAAATTTTTAGCAATTCCAATTAGAAAATCGATGATATTTCTGCCAGAATAACCAGTACAGCATTTATATTTTGTTCTTTGACCATATGTGAATATTTGAAATAGGAAACACAAAATCAGTTACTGACTCTCCAATTGTGTAATTTCCATAACAATTTTGCAAAATGGTGAATAGACAGCGAGTCAGAAATGGAAAAAAAGGAAAGGTAGAAATAAAAATTGGATGAAATTTGATTTACAGAATTGAATATTATGTTTATTAAAATTTAAATATATAATCACTGAATATGCAAATGTTTCAGGTAGATGGGAAGATGGTGGCAGAAAGGACCGTCATCGCTCAGGCCATCCCTGCATATGGCTCCCTTTGGCTGGGCTGTAACCCTAGAAACGGATTAGGTGGGAATGTGGAGCTGTACTTGTTCCGGATGTGGGCAGACTTGGGTGATCACGAGTTTTGTGAGGATGGGACGGTCGTTGGCTGGAATTCACAATCCTGGGCAGTGACCAGTTCCAAATCCAGAGAAACACAACCACATCTTCACTGCGGTGAGGCAGACCCAACATTTACCTCCTGATTCTTAGAAATTTACTAATTTAATGCTTGACTTTTTTTGTGTTTAAATAAATAATTTTCTTTGCTAATTAGAAAATTAGAAAAATCTGAGTGCAGCATTTTTTTTAATATATTAAACTAATGAATCATGAATGCAAGAGACAAATTAGGCATTCATGAATGCCGGGTCATGAAACTTATCTCATACTGATACTTAGCCAAAACAATATTTCTAACTAGCACACAAGACCGAGCTTTGTTAATTAGATTAAATGTGCCTGAGGTAGCATAGTTCAAAGATAAAAGCGTTTCTAAAACTACTAGTACATAATAATGCATGGAGACTCTGATCTAGACAAAGGTTTGACAGTGACACAAATACTTTTACTGAGGATTTAAAAACAGTCATGATCAGACTCTAAATCTGCAACGTTGGTCATTCTTTTTCTGCGACTCATGCTTTCAATCAACTTCTGGTCTAAATCCTGACTCTCGCCAGCCATATCCTACGTAATTAATATTTGGCGTTGGTTTGATTTTGCAGGTTTTTGTTTGTGTACATACCTCTGGCTAGTATTTTGACCTGGACCCCAAATGGCTGCAGGTGTTCCACTTAGAGGATGATTAGGTACCATGCTTTATTCATGACTGTGTTCTCAGTATTCTTGGTTGAGAGGCTTACACAAATGGATGGTTTCAGAAGGCGTCACCTTTGGCAGGACAAAGGGCAAATATTAATGCTAGGCTCATCTTCTATGGACGATCTATGTGCTCCAGTCCTGACAAGATTAAAGAGAAGATGCTTCTTTGCTGCTCTTCTTGACATCCTTTTCTAAAACCAACCACATGTAAATCCCATCATGTTTCTGTGGAAATGAAGGCTATTTTATTAGTAAATCTAGGGTTCTTTGGAATACGATTGAGTAAATGTTTGAATTCAGTCCAGTATAATCTCAACAGGATGGAAAATGGCAGCGAGCTGACACTTGTCAATTGTTTGCTGGCAGCAAAGTTCGGAAGCCTGTTTTTTGCAGGCGACATGCAAATAGTGTTTGTACTTCCTGCTGATACTGTGTTGCTTGGAAATCCGGTTGGAGGTGCCAGAGTGACAAACATGTATGTAAAAGAGATTTATCTGGGAAAATCCAAAACAACAGTTACTTGTTTGTGCTGGTCTGAAGTGTGGGAAGAAAATTATATCACACTGTGCCATACATTCACATATGTGTATGGCACGCTTCCGGTCGGCAACAAGATGGCGCCTGTGCTTGGCTTAGCCGCAGTCACCGGCCACTTTTTCAAACTCTTCTCCACTAACCTCCTCTTTTCCACCTTGATCCTGTCTGCGATCCTCTTCAGTAGTGTCCCTGCTACCATCTCCTATGATCGCCAGACTCTTTTGTCCTTCCGTTCGTTCAAGATCGCCCAAGACGCACCGAGGACGTACCTCTCTCTTTGTTTACCTGAGCGGCGCACTGGCCCGGAGCCAAACTACGGTCCCGAGCTGCGCACCTCCAGCTATGTTTGTCCGGCCCCGGGAAAACGTCGGAGGAAAAGAGGTAAACGAGCAGGAATCCAGGTGAGAATAAGACTTCTCTTAAAGCGTGGTTTATCTAGTAATCATCGGCGCGATCTTCTAGCTTTTTGTCCTTTGTTTGGTGACCCGAGCGCCACTTCCGCATTCCCGCCAGGCCGCGTTGCGACGCGGTTCATCCGTCCAAGTTTTTTAAGGTCCGTTTATCCTCATTCCTCAGTGGTTTCTCCTCCTGTTCCCTCCATAAGTGGTTTTTATAAACACCGTGGATCTAACCCTGCTAATTTACGTCCACTAACTCCAGCTGTTTCTGTAGTTTCTGATTCCTCCACCTCACTCAGCATGGCTCTATTAAACACCCGCTCTGTTAACAATAAGTCCTTCCTGCTCAGTGATCTAATTCTCTCTAAAATCCTGGATTTTCTGTTTCTGACTGAAGTTTGGCAGCAAACATCTGATTATTCTGCTCTTATTGAACTCTGCCCGAGTGGTTATTCTTTTCTTAGCCAGCCTCGGGGTTCTGGTCGTGGTGGAGGCCTAGCTGTTGTTTTCAGAGACCATCTTCCATGTAGCTCTACAACCTCTGGTCACTTTGCTTCCTTTGAACTGCAGCTGATTAAAGTCAGGTTTAAGAACCCGTTCTACTGTGCTGTGGTTTATCGTCCACCTGGTCCAAACAGTTCTTTCCTTCAGGAGTTTAGTGACTTTCTATCCTCCACTGTGAAGCTGTCCAGACTGGTGATTGTTGGTGACTTATCCACGTTGATGATCCCTCTGATCACTTTGCCATGAATTTCTCCAGCCTTATGGACTCCTTCAGCTTTACCCAGCATGTTTCTGGCCCCACACACACCAGGGGGCACACTCTAGACCTTGTTTTTACCCTGAGTCTAAATGCTGACAGTGTTTGTCCTGAGGATATTTATATTTCAGATCACCATTGCATTTTCTTTAACTTGTCAGTTTCTGCGTCCCCACCTCCTGCTCGCCGTATGGTTAGTTCTCGTTTTCTTACTGAGAGCACAGCTAGCAATTATTCTGCTGCTTTTGATCCACCCTGTTCTTCTGATAACGACCCAGATTCCTTAACTTCTCAGTTTAACGAGCACTGCCTCTCCATTCTGGACAACATCTGTCCGCTCAGAACCAGATCAGTTCCTGCAGTGAACCCTACTCCCTGTTTTACTGACAGTCTTCGCAGCCTGAAGCGCCAATGCAGAAATATTGAGCATTTGTGGAAGAAAACCCATCTCCACGTCCATCTGCTGCACCTAAAGGATCTTCTGACATCCTTTAACTCTGCAGTCAGAGACGTGAGGGTTTCCGATACTTCTAACAATAGAATAGAATAGAAACAACCTTTATTGTCCCAAAAGGTGGACATTCATTCATTTTAGTAAATAGCTGAAAAGGACTTTAACATGGAACATTAGCTGAAACCTTTTAATGAAGGTACTTTTACAAATACCCACATCGGGGCACTTTAAGGCAGGACATGGTTTGATGCAGATTTGGGACAAATGTTTTTAAAGGATTAATCACTTAAAGGTTCAATTTAATGAAAAATCTACATTTTCTTTTAGCTTTTTTCCGCGTGATATCGCCATTTCCTCGTGAGAAATATCTGGAACCTTTAAACTTTTAGTGTCCTCTTTACTCTGAAGGCAAAAACCAATCATTTGGGAAGTAATCCTCCACCTACCCTATGTCACATCTCAGAAGTGACAGTATGTAATGGTATTTATTGATAAGTAACTTATGAACTTAAAATATATCCGTTACTTTTGGCCTTTTAATCTGATTTAGTTGGTTTGCTTAAAAATAAATCCAATTAGCATATATTTAGGGATATTTAATTGTTTCTTTTGAATAGACTTTTTTTTCTTTGCTGTTTCAGGTAATTGGAATCACTTTTTATGTAATGATCATGTTATGTTGAGTTTAATATTTGAGTAAATTGTAAAACATGACCAGATGTGTGTTTTCTGGTTCTCTTTAAGTGTTTGACCCACTTCTCGCCTTCAGTTCATAACTCACACCTGTCCTGCAGACATTAAGCAACAGCTGCTGTCAATCAGCAATCATCATTTCTGTCCAAATACTTCCTGGTTTCTTTAGATTCTTCTGTGTCTTGTTTTGGGGTCCTTGTGTTTTTATTATATTTACAATAGTGTTTACATTGTTGCACTTTTTTAGTCTCATTTTCACTTTTCCAAATGATTTGAGCCAACATTTTGTGGGTCTGCGATGCTTTTATAATTATAAATCAAAATACAAAGTCATCTCGCGCCAAACTGAAGCTTGCATAAGGGGCCCGGTTCATATGGCAAAACATTATGAAGATGTTTGGCCTGAATCTCCCCTTCTGACAATTTTAGAGACTGATATGCAATTTTTGCAATTTTGCTGCACATGTTAGCACAAAACTTGATTTATTGGACTTTTGCGCACAAGGATCTCCAAATATTTCTTATAAGATTTACTGCTGGAAAACAGGTTGAAGCATGAACTCTGACTTTTATTTGCATTTCAGGCCCAGATTACTCAAATAGTACAGACATTATGGCTTCAACCCCCTCCTCTAACACCAGTCCAGCCAATCCGCTTTCAACCAGCAGCCGTGTGCATCCAATGACATCAGTGCCTGTCAAACAAAACCTGCAGGAAGGATTGTTGTCATCAGGTTAGTCTGCATACAGCAGATGCTGTGTACATTGTTTTGCAGGCATGCAATTTGAGACTTTCAGCGCTATTCTGTTCCATAAACAACTAACTGTCCCTTATCTAGTTTCCTTTTAACCTTCTCTTTCAGGATCACCTTTAGTAAACTGTAACATCAGTCAGCTTTGTTCCAATCAAAGTAAGAATCCATCACCTTGGTTCCGTCTGTCTTCATTAATAGTTTTTACTTTGGTGTTACATCTTTACTTCTTCCTCCAGGTGCTTACTTTTGGATGCTCATAAACGTGAACGCCTCAGAGAGCAGCAAGACTGAACAGGAGCTCAACAGTTTGGTGAGAATAAAAACTTTTTCTGCTTTCCGATGAGATTGTTGTAAATTGTTCACACTCCAGCTGTGCACTGACTCACTCCTTTAATTGCTTTAAATGTCACATTTTTGCAGACCAGTTTTCCTGAAGCAGGATTAGCCTGTGGAACAGAAGCCTGTTGATGCTGCTGAGAGGAATTCTGTTAAAGGCTGACATTCACGTTGTAAAGAAATACCTCAGCGATGGTTTTTCTTTTGTTATATCAGCCTCAGGCTTTACTTTCTTTTGTTGACCCCTGTTATCTGATCTGTTGTACACATTCGTTGTCTAAAATTCCCAGTATTCCCATTCTTTACTATTTCATCACCACACAGTTCTGTGTAAAGGGTTCAAATTCAAATTCAAAGATACTTTATTAATCCCAGAGGGAAATTAGAGTTTCAGTGAACACAATTCTGAGATTAGACATACAGACATAGGCATAGACACATGACAAGAATTGGTGACTGTGGTCATTCACAACCCGAGTCACGCTACCTTAATGGAGAACAGAGGGGTTTATACATGAGGATTGGTTCAGGTGGAGGAAAAAAAAGGCACTTCAGAGTTACCCTCCACAGAGAGGGCAGCTTTGCTCTGCAAAAAACACCTCAGACAGAAATGCAACAGACTTCAGACATCACACAACATAAGTGTCCACTAGGTGGGGTGGTAGGGTTGGGGACTCTCCACACGTCAGTGCATGCAGCCACGATGAGCAGCGCTCGTCACCTCAGTCTGGACAGGGGAGGGAGGTCGTTGGGTTTGGAGGGCACAGTGACTCCTGGAACGATTCTGCAGCCTTCACAGCCCACAGTCCCGCCCAGGCTGGGAATGGGAGATAGAGTTGCCATAGCGACGGCAGCATTCCACATTTCTTCTGAGGGGGGCATTCGTTGTAGCCTCTCAGGCTCAAGGGCACCAGATTCAGATATGAAATAGTTTTGTGGCCAGTCAGAGATAATTTCCTATGTCTTAAAGTTCTGTTGGTCCTCAACCTCTCAAAATCCTAATAATGGTGTAAATGTATCCCAATCCATGCCTATTCGTCCACTCGCTCCTTGATGGCATCCATCTTTTGTGCCAACGCATGAATCTCAGCCAAAGTTCCAAGCTTACGACTCATCTCGACAATTATATGAGTCTGTGAATTCACAGCGCAGTGTAATCCATCCCTGAGCTCGGGGAGAGCGCCAATATTCCTCGACAGCTCGTCAATTTTCCGGAAAAGCCAGGAAGCCTCCTAGGCCAAAGAGCAGGAAACCTGACACCAACACCACGAATATCCAGACGTCTTCAGAATCCTCTACAGACAGTTGAGAGAGGCAGATCAGGTTCCACTGTTTCCAGGAGTCCATGATATGCCCAGCTGGATCTGTCCCAGAGCTAAAATGCTGTTCGTCACTGAACAGGATTTCTGGGCGCAGCCAAGGTGTTAAGGGGATCTGTTTTGGTGTCCTAAGAACTGAGTTGCTGCTTTTTGCCTATGATGTGGTCCTGTTGGCTTCATCAGTCTGTGATCTCCAACTTTCGCTGGAGCGGTTGGCTGGCGAGTGGAAGCAGCTGGGATAAGAACCAGCAGCTTAGCAGTTGATTTACCAGGGGATCGACATTCCTACCTCACCTATGGTCCTCTTACACATGGGACTTTTATACATGACCTGTTTAAAGTCACATGACTGGTTAAAGTGCTCAATGACTTTTATCTAGCAACTGAGAGCAGTAATTCTGTGTTGTTACTTCTGCTGGACCTCACGGCTGCCTTTGACACGATAGATCATGAAGTGCTGCTTCACCGTCTGCATCATTATGCCGGGATTTCAGGGTTAGCCCTGGATCGGTTTGGATCATACTTGACAAATAGAAAAATGTGTGTTAGCATGGGAAGTTATTCCTCAGAGTACTCTGATCTACCCTGGGGGGGTACCACAGGGCTCGATATTAGGGCCTCTGTTGTTTTCTGTTTACATTCTGCCCTTAGGTGACATCTGTCGTGAGCTTGGAGTTCAATTCCACCTTTATGCTGACGATTGTCCGCTGTACCTGCCTCTGAACACGTCCAGTGGTCTCTCTATTTCTATTTACCAACTGTTTGAGGGAGATCAAGACCTGGATGAGTAAAAGTTTTCTGAGCCTAAGTGATCACAAAACAGAGGCTATATTGTTTGCTCCAAGCAGACATTGTGACTTTTCCCTAACTGACTGTGGGTCATTTAATGGCCAGCTGACTACATCGGTGACTAATCTAAGTGTTAAACTGGATAGCGCCCTTAGTTTTGATACCCACATCCCACATCAATGGAGTGATCTCCTCCTTTTTCCACCTCCGTCAGTTGGCAAAGATCAAACCATTTTTGTCACGTCATGATCTTGAGACGGTAGTCCATGCTTTTATCACGGTGCGATTGGACTACTGTAACTCTGTTTTATTCGGTGTGAGCTAGGGCTCAATAGCCAGGTTGCAAATGGTGTAGAATGCTGCTGCCAGATTTTTAGAGGGCAGGCGCAAGTATGACCACATTACTCCTGTCCTGGCTGCGCTTCACTGGCTGCCCGTTGATGTAAGGATTCGTTTGAAAATACTCTTGTTGGTTTTCAAAACGTTAAATGGTTTGGCCCCTCCTTACTTGGTGTCACTGCTTCAAGCGTACACCCCTGCACAGTCACTCCGCTCGGAGAACCTCATGCTCCTCTCGGTCCCAAGAACGCGCCTAACGACACGTGGTGATAGGGCCTTTGCTGTGGCAGGCCCTACGCTTTGGAACGAGCTTCCTCTCAGCATAAAGGCCTCCACCTCTGTCGCGGTTTTTAAGGCAAGGCTAAAAACCTACTTTTATGATCTGTCTTTTAACCTTTCTAACTAGTTTTATTGTTTTACTTATAGCAATCTGTGTACTCACTGTATTTTTAATCTGTATCTTGTGATGCAATGTTTTTATTTTCTGGACTTAATGTTTTATGTTTTTTACTTGATCTGTGTAGCACCTTGGGGGCATCTTTTTGCCTGCAAGGCGTGATTTACAAATAAAGTTGAGTTGAGTTTTTTAAATATTTGAATATTTTGCTATTGTATTTCCACATTTTATTCTTAACACTCAGTAGTTAACTATACTATGTTTGACCCTTTTGCTGCATTAAACATCTAATTTCGACACAATATCACGAAATCCTCAGAAACCATCTTTGTTTTTAGGAAGTTTTTCCTCATATTTACTGTAAAAATGAAACTAGATCAATGAAGCTGACTTACAGCAGGTGACACGGAGAACTAGACTCTAGGGATGAATATATCTGGTGATGTCTGAATACCGAGGGAAACACCTGGAGGAACCAAATTCTGCACAGTTTTTCACTCAATCCAGTAAACTCAATAAAGAAAAGAATTTTTCAATGAAGATTGT